TTCATAGTAACTATATTTGATAGGTCCGCCAAAACCCATAGAAAAGGCAATGTGGTTATAAATAAAAAATGTTTAGTACTAAAAAATGGTTAAATAAACAATTTTGTATTGTTATTTGAAGTCTTCTGAAATGAACCAGAGTTTTCTGATCGAAAAATATTGAAACTTTGTGCGTTTTGAGCGACCTATAAATATATTGTGATTTCAAAATAAAAAATAGGGGCGTCTTAAGGGTGAGAGCATTAAAATTCCGACTACTTATTTTGGACCACCCTAATGTGCATACTAGGAACAATTTTGTACCGCGTTGTACCAACGCACGCGAAACAAAGCGGTTTGCACGAATTTTACCTGCGAGCAAAGAAAAGCTCATAGCAAAAAAAAAAAATAATTGTGCAAATGAAAAATTAAATAAACTGTAAATACTGTAAATAATTGTAAAAAAATACAAAACAGAGATTAGAAAAACTTGCGCTGAAATGCTTGCGTTCATTCAAACACACCTACCTACTTCCATGTTTATATGAATGTATGTAGATATGTATGTATCTATATGGCGAAGAAGTTTATTAACATGACAGCAAAATCAAATTACCAACAAAATACAGTGAATCGCTTTAATACGGCGTGATCGGTATGACATGAAACGGAACGGATATGGTCCAAGTTGGAAACACTTTTATATCTACTTAAATATGTAGGTATGTTTATATGCACGTAATTGTAGTCATATCGTGAAATGCGGAAAGAGATTTTACCGCTTTTATTCATATTTAAGTGCTTTGTTTTTGTATGAATTTTCTTATACCTGACTGCTTCAAATTGAGTTTTCCGACTTTGATTAACGCTTTTTGTTTTGATACATACTCGTACATAACTAAATTTACTTTTACATAGATCTATAAGTATTTCCATTTTCTTTTATTAAAGTAATCAATACTCAGTGAGTACGTATTATGATGAAAAATTAAAAAACAGTGCAACAAGCCATAATACATATTGTACATGAACATAAAGATACATATGGATGTATAAGCAAAATCAACCATCAGTGTCTGTAGATTGTTTGACACTTTGACGTCTGGAGCCTCTTTGCATCGAACACGTTTTTGCGCGCAAATTGGCGCGAAACATAACATACATATGTATGTACATGGATAATGAGATTACAGCAACAAAGTGGCGAAAATAAATTGATTATGGTAATATCCAATAGAAATGCTGAAGGTATACGAAGAATTGTTGGTTATAACGAATATATGCAAATGTATATACATACATACATACATATGTTAACATTAGGCTGGGTCGGTGCCTATGCAAAAAAACAACTTTTTAATGTATTATTTTTGAGGTTTATACTCGTAGATCTCTTTAAAATCATGAAATAATATCAAAAGGAAACAAATAAAAAATTTCAAAATCATTCGTTAAAAAGTTAAGTAAAGGTTTTTGTTTATTTAACTTTAATGTTCATTAAATGCCGTTAACGAATCATTAACTGACGCTGAGAGGGAACTTTTTCAAATCGTTACTGAGGGACACCTTAAGTAATCATTAAACGACTCTGAGTGCGGCTGACGAAATATGTACCTTAATTGTCTTACAATTATATTTGTAGGCATTCATCAAGAATTGTCTTTGTTCACTTTAGTCGCCATAAAGCAAGGACCGCAATGGTTCTGGTGGTATTTAATGGTGGCAATTTGACTTTGATCCCAGCGAATCCAGCGCGACTCTTTTTTGCAATAGTATTGCCCCTACCATTACCAATATATACATATGTATCTTCTTATATGAGCCAAATCGGATGATATATAAGATTTTTAGTAATAACTCGACTCCAGAGCCACCTGGCGAGCAATTTTTTCTCCAGAAATATTTCCCTTCATGTCGCCAATACATATTTTGAGTATTAGCCACCTGCCGTTTTAACTATACAAGGATCCACTCAAACACAAAATTTCATCGTTTCGGAGGTTTAGGTATTTACAGATAGGTAAAAGTTTCAGTATGTTTGGAAGACGCCACGCCCCCTTTTCCAATAGCCCCCACTTTTCCCCATGAGTATGGGATTGATTTCAAATATCTCGAAATCAAGTTCCAGGACTCTACCACAAATACTACCAGAAATATTCGATATGAAAAATTCCATTTGTATCCGAGGTGTGGGCGTGGTCCTCTTTGTTTAATCAAGATAACTGCTATCCTTTTTTTAAGCTTCGCTAAATGACACCAATGTGCGAAATTTCATTATGATCAGTTGAGTAATTAAAGCGTGAAATCGTAATAAACAATCCAATCTAATTTATATTAGTAAGGATTATCCAGACTGACCATTAAAATAATTTTTAGAGGTGAGCATTTTTTACGTAGACCCAAATACACAAACACAAGGACATATATTGTCTGCCTTTGATTGGTTGTGCTCAACGAAAAATCATTATTAAGGGCTAGTTGTTCAATATCTAGTTTCATCAGTACATAATTATCGACGATCTCGGCATCGATAAAGCAGTCATTGTATTTATCCAGAGCTTCTACCTCCGATTTGTGTTAATCAGACATTAAATAACCGGTCCTCAGCAAATATTACGCTTTGATTACGCGTTTTCTCAAGATGATTTTTTCAGAAATGTTTTTTAGCACGTTGTCCTTTCACCTAGGTCCCTTACTTCTTTTGAAGAAGTAAATAAGTTTAATTTACACCCGCATATGTAAAATAAGTACCGCTCAACGACTATCACAAAAAAATTCAGGTTTATTTTAAAATACGCGAAATTCAGTTACAGTTGTTAGTAGCCTTGTGTCTCGCATTTGGTAACTGGCACAATTGTTTAATACCTATCTTTTTATTCCTCAGAGCCTGCGAATCAACACATTAGACCACGTCAAAAAAATTAACATCCTGCAATGCGACCGCAATCTGACTCAGATTTTAGTTACTAAAGTTTAGTATTTGACATAGTAATTGATCGGCCATGAATCTCCCTCCCTACGATAGTTTTAAGAGGTCCCACCTCTAAAAGCTTAACTGCAGTTAAGAGGTCAGGTAAGTTGCAGGGTATTTTCACATGCGGTAATCGGCAGGGTTTATTTCTTACTTTTTGCCGTTTTATTCTCGTTTGCTTGTACTTAACAAGAGCAATTACCCCTTTCCAGTTGTAATCTCCTTTTCGCAATAGACATAAACTGCAGTTAAGGCTTGGTGGAAATGAACTATGTATTAATTTTTCCCATTGGAATTACACGTAAGAAAATGAATTATTCTCTATGAGCATGCATAATGCAGAGTCGGACAATCGACTTTCTGCTTACACAAAAATTAAAATAGATCATTTGAAAGCACAATTACATGTCTGGCTGTAGCTGAGCTTGCAGAGGTGCTTGCTGTTATTTGTTAGCTTCCAGAAGGTGCGGGTTCGAATCCCAACAGAGGCAACATGCTAAAAATTATAATTTTTTTGTCTTCAAAATATGAAAAACTATCTGTGAAGTGCGGAACGAAAGCGTATTCAAACGAAAAATACTGACTTTGAAGTTTCTGTAACCAAATGCATTTTAAACTAGTTTAAATAAAATGCAGAGTCGGATAACTTACTTTCTCCTAGGACATGGCTATGTTAACAAAGAAATCCAACCTATTGCAGTTGGTATAAAAGTACTTTTTAAATTGATTTTAAAGTAGTTCCATCTCCGACAGAGTTATAATCAATGTATGTAGGTTCGAGCGTTTTAATTAATCGTAGTAAATTATATTGACCTCAAAAGAGAATAAATCATTTTCTTACGTGTGATTTTTGTGGTAAAAACTAGCACTCGATGCGCGACCTCTTAAAACTATCGTAGAGAGTCAGAGTCGGTCGCATTGCAGGATTATTCTTTTTTTTCCTTTGACGAGGTCTAATGTACATACATATGTCCATACATACATATTAACGTACAAACATATTCTCAAATGCAAATACTCTCAATAAATAAGCGATTATTGGAATAAATTGCAATCAGCAAGTGGCGTATAAGTGATTGCGGAATAATCGAGCATGCGCGCCGTTTTTTTTTTGCGTTTCAGTTAAATAAGCAGTGCAAATTTTCACATACACATGCATAAAAATATGTATGCATTTAGATTTGCAATAGGGGTATTCGTCATGTGTTCAAACAACAACAAAATAAGCCAATCATGCTATTTATGCTATCTAGTGTACACCATGCTAGACAGTATGCACCGGATCGTGAGTATCCCTAATGTAAACAAAGCCAGATGTTATGTACATTTGTGCAACACGCTTAAGCACATAAATACATACGCACATATCGTTGATGTTTTTGCAAAACCGCCAATCGACCACCGCCTAAATCGCCGTTGTAGCAAAAATGAGATTTGGTTACCCTGAACTTGAGGCATCGAGATGTTTGCATAAAAATCGTAAAATCGTGATCAAAACAACAGATTTGTAAAAAAATAGCTAGAAAAAATAACGCCTAACAAGGCAATGCCTTCAAAGAAAAACCGTTTTTTCGCTCTCCTGTAAAATTTGAGCGCCGTAAGATAGGCGGTTTTGCAATTGGACGATCGTCGGTTTTGCAAAAACATCGACGATATGTATGCATGTGCATGCAAGCATAACAACATATTTCTCAATATTTGGCGGCGTTCAATCCTTTCGGACATACATAAGCCAACATAAGTGCAAACATCAAATCGTACATAGGTATGTATCTACAGGCTACCGGCCATAATCACCTCTTCATTCATCCGCATTGCGTATTGCTGCTGTCTAACATTTTAACCAACATTTTGAAACAGGTCTATGGCTGTCGCTCTTCTTTTTCTACATACATATGTATGTATGTACTAAGTATGTACATTATCACCGTCCGCTTAGCTCCTCATCTAAACTACTTACACATTTTTCACCTGGAGCATGGTAGCTTCTTGGGGTTTCTCTTTCCTTCTTTCTCTTTTGTAAAAATTAACGCAACACCGCCAGTAGCACCACTACCACCAGCACCATTATAGCCACCGCTGCCACCTACCCACCGCTGCGCTGACGCCGGAGCTTGTGGTTAAGTCATCGCACATGTAATGTGGCAGCGACCGGCCAGTACCACTCCCAGCAACCGCTGGCTTTTATATTCTCTGGAACCGGCGCGCTTGGCTTCAGTTGATACTTTTGCATTTAAGCGCAGAGTTCGTAATCACGGGGCGCTAAATCGTCGAAATTTAAAACTATAAATAAATATCCAACAGTAATTGGTGTTGCGAGTAAAGCTGCGCGTAATTCAACAAATTATTCCGTATGCATCTTAGTGAAGTGCAGTAGAAAGAATCCTGCATCGAAAAGTGACTTTAAAAAATTACAAAAAAAATCAATAAAATACCAAATAATTTTACTACAATGCGTGCTACATTCTTCACCATCTCCATTCTCTGCCTTTTAGTATTGAATGTATCTACCGATGATAAGCACAAAGAACAAAGCAGTTCAGGTAATACAAAAAAAAAAACACTATGTATAGTATTTTGTGTGTTTTATGATTAAGTAGATATGCGATGTCTTTTACGTATTAAGTTCGTCAAGAAATCTTCTGGCCAAAACCGGATTTCCACTCAAGTCGTATGCACGTCAACAAAAAGAACAAAAGAATGCAGTAGAAATGGTCGGCAGCGATTCTCGCACACGTAGTACATATGTATGTATGTACATACATATTTTGTTATTGTTGTGGTGGCGTACGTAACAAAAGGTGCGTCTTAGTTAGTTGACTCTTCAACTAGATTAGTTAGTTAGTGCTGAAGTATAATAGAACAAGAAACACTGCGACCTGCAAGATCGTTTGCGTCTGTTAAAGAGAAACCCTCAACCAGTGTCTCCAAGATACCTAAATAGTCCCTGGTAAGCGAATTTTTTATTAAAAAAGATTTGATCATTGGAGCTTTAAAATGGAACCATCTTTGTCCGGCCAATGCCGAACAGTAACATAGAATATGTTCTCAAGTCTCACCGCTTTAAAGCAGAGCTGGCATTCTGACTGTGTGACCACAACTATTCAGTCGGTTGTGACCAGTTAGGTGGTACCCAGAAAGTAGTCTTTTTACTGAAATAATCTGATTTTTGTTGAAAGGTTAGCCGAAAAGCCTGACTTACTGTGTTCGGAGTGTACCCACTCAGTAATTATGAACCAAATGTGACCACAGAATGATTCAACCGGTCGGCGACCTCGTTGCCCTCCATTCCACAATAGCGTGGTACCCAGCAGAGCGTTTCCGTATTTTTGGCTACCATAATTTGTAGCGCGTCAAAGTAGTCTCTAACCAGCTTTGGTTTTATCTACCTGTTTGAAAGGGCCCGGAAAGCTGCTTGGCTATCTGAAAATATATCTAGAAAGGCGACCTTCAAATTCTTTTCAAGCTTGAATTTTACACAGTTTAAAATTACTTATACTTCAGCCTGAAACATCGTGGTCTACCTGCCCATGGTTTGAAGCCAGGTCCAAAACTACCTGCACCTGATCTGTCCTCCATCCTTGTACGTATCTGAAATCAAGAGCAGGGAGCCCATTTGGCGCAAAACGGACCGCAGATTCGGATTCAGTAGGTCGAAATACATTTTGCTAGGTGGGTCCGGTTAAATGCACAGACCCCTATTGATGAAATTAAGCACCTTGGGGGGTATCATCTTCTAGATTCTGGATGGAGATGATACTCGTTCTCCAAGGCATACGCCTATTTCGAGTTATACGCGGGTAATTACCTCCTCTAGCCCAAAAAACATGCAGTGCGTCTCCACAGTAAGTCCCATTTTTTGCATATCGTACCTCAGTCGGCAGTGTCCTGTCAGGTATCCGGAGAGAGTTCTTATACCCGCTCTGCTAAGATTTAGCAGCCGCTGAGTGATTCCACAAAAGGGAGTCATAAATTTTTTGGACTTCGTTTTGCCCTGCGTATCCCCTGGATAAAGAATGAGGCAGCGTTGAGCACTGTATCAATTATAAATGCATAATGATTCAATAGTTTTTTTTTTTTGATTATAAACGGTGAATACAAAAATCCAAAACCTTCATCCAGGGTTAACTGCACATGCATGGGTCCCTGGATACAGGAACATACCTGCAAACTGCCTAGCCGTCGAGCTGGCAAAGAGGGAGGCGGAAATATCTGAAATCAATTCTGCTCAGAATATACCTCTAACCTCCTGCACAGACTAAAGGCTGAACTCATCTAGGAAATAAATACCAGGTGGGCTGTGGAAACCACCTGCCATACTACCAGGAAAATTTGGCCAAAGATTGATGTAAGGTGATCCTAGCTCTCACTCCATTGCCTGATGGACACACACGGAAAAAGGTTAGGATACCCCACCAACGATTTTTGTCGCAGTTGCAGAGACGAGGAAGAGGTGGAGAGCATTGAGCATTATCTCTGCCATTTTCCCGCCCTGGCCAACACGCGCAACCAATTCTTCAACAAGTACTTCCTAGATTGTTTAGCCGACTTGAACTAGGCGAGGGTCCTCGACTTTTTGTGCTATATAAAACTCACTCGGTAGTTCATGTACTAAGGGAGGGAAAGAAACAGATGGCTTCGGCCAGTGGTGTCACAACGGGCTTTCCAGCCTACGTGTGCTCCGCTCTCTGCGCGGGACAGCCACTCTAACATAACCTACCCTAAGAATCACATCTAAATACATACATATGTACACTTTGAGAGCTCCTGACTTTGGAAGTAGACGATGTGCCCTAATGGGATTGCCTTTAACCCCTAACACTTATCTCATTTGGGTACCGATACATAGAATCATGGGCAATATCCTCACCAAGAAAGAGTCTGCACAGGAATTTATGGGACCAGAACCCTTCATCGGTCTGTGATTTACCTCCGTTAAGCGAAATTACTATAACTCCATGAAAAAGGAGGTAAAGGTAAGAGACTTCCTAAATCCTTCACTTCAACAAGGAGAACCACTCCGTACGACCGACCGCCACCAGTTTTTTTGAAGTGAAACTTCGTTGGCGGCGGTCGGTTGGTTGGGAGTAAATTGGCAAATTTAACGGAAATTGCACACGGTAATTATTGGGACTGAAACAAGTGCGTGTATGCACATATTAATTTAACAAAAACTTACTAATAAATGGTTAAAGAATAACATTAAGAAAAAGACTAATACAAGAATGAAAGTAAAGGTGAGTACATACATAGATAAAGAAAAGGATGAAGGCAAAAGAGAAAAAGAAGAACAAAGGTGCGTAAAGATAAAGGCAAAAATGACGATTAAGGTAAATTTAAACACTTTACTTTTATATGGGTAAAGGTGAAGGGGAATATGTAGAAAGTAAAAATAAAGACAAATATAAAGAAAAAGATGAGGTAAAAAATAAAGATGGAGATATAGGTAGAGGAAGAGGAAGAAAAATTAAAATAAAGGTAATTATAGAGAAAAGGATATACATAGATAGAGACTCAATCTGGGAACTATTTCGGTATTTTAGAGATTTTCGGGATTCTCGGAGCTTGTCGATATAATAATCAATATTTTTTGTCGATTTTGTTATCGATATTTTTTATCGATTTTGTTATCGCTTTCCTATCGATATTCTTATCGAATTAGTTGTGGATCTTTTTAATGGTTTTGTTATCGATATATTGATGGATGTTACTATCGATTTTGTTATCGATAGAGTATAAAGTTAAAAATAGAATAAGGGAAAACAGAATAACATATCGTAGTTTTAAGTACAAAACCGCGTATCGTGGTTCTGCAAAACCTCGTAACTGACATTTGTGCCAAAAAAAGATATTTCCTCACCGTTCATACTAAAATATCGATACTCAGACAAAAGAAGAAGAGATATGTAATTGCGGATAAAAGAGAAAACCGTTTTGAAATAAGACAAGTTTTACCCTCTCCAATACAATTTTGGCAACCTCACAGACGGGGTTTTGCATTTTCTTGATACGCGGTTTTGTACTTTAAACGACGATATGTAAATGTAATTAGAACGAACAGAATAGAGGTGGTGATCTAGATGGAAAAAAGACAAAAATATAACATTAAGCAAAAGCAGATGCATATGTATGTACATATGTACATTGGTTATGAGACAAACTAGATATACATCGTCAGTTTCACTTCTCCAGTGTGGCCCAGGCGCACTCACTTTTTTCTAATAAATATCGCCCCTCGTCAGGCAGTGACAAACCTCCGAGTATATTTCTGCCATTAAAAAAGCGATCAGCAAAAACCGTTCGGAGTTCGCGTGAAGTTTTGAAGAGAAAGGTGAACTCCACGGCAACCTTGTGACCATGACCAGAATATTCACAAATTATGGAGGGAACACGTTTCCACCCTGTTGAATGGTAACGGAATCTATGTCCCAGAACCCGACTGCGATGAGGTATAAAGAGCTATTTCGTATCTGCTAGACCTGACGTCCTGCAAGCCGAGCTAGTATTCAAGTACAGCGGCGAGGAGGTGATAAGGTGCATGCATCAACTCTTATGCAGAATATGGTCAGATGAACGCATGCCTGACGACTGGATGAATTTAAGTGAGATCTGCCCAGTCCACAAGGAATTCGATCCCGCATAAACATAAGGTCTTATAGAGCGTAAGGTGTCAAAGGCAGTGAGGCTTTAGACCTGATAAGGTCACCATATACCAAATATTGACCACGTGTGAAATTTTGAAAAAGTCCCACGAGAAAGGAATCGACGCTCACCATCTCTTTGCCAATTTCAACGCCGCATTTAATAGCACGAAAGGAGCTGCCTATTTGCCGCGATGTCTGAATGTGGTATTCTCGGGAAACGTCTATATAAAATGACGTGGAGCAATACAACCATCCCCGTCATTTGAGAAGGACTTCTCCGAGTCATTTGATACCAAATGAGGTTTCATGGACATGGAGACTCCTTATGGTACGACTTCTTCTTTAATCTGATGAAAAACATTATAAGAACAGAATCAACAAACAAAATCGCCCTCAACAAAAGCTACGCTTGTTCAGCAAGCAAGCAGTCAACGCATTCGCGCTTTAGCACTTACGTCTTTGTAGATTATATTTAAGAATCACGGGCCCTTACGCGTTGGCAACGAAGAACAACGCAGAAGATGGAGCGAGGAGCTGTATGGGTTTTACAATGATACAGTTCAGCGAATTATAATCCAGCGCTCCTCTGGCTTTGATATGTCGCATGAAAGGACCTAAACCAGGCATGCCCAACGCCGGCAGAACTCCATAAGCAAGTGCCCTGCGCTGGCAGAATTCAATAGGCAAGTGCCCTGCGCTGGGCACGGCTGACCTAAACGCTCCATCCGGATCACGCGGTGGTAGCAAAGAAAGAGGGATGCCTCCTCTGTGATTGAAAGCCCAGATGGCCTCACTTGCAATTAGCGTCAGTTGGCTCAGAAGGGAAACGACTGGTGCACTTTATTGAACTCGGCAAAAATCATTTAGGCGATTTCAGCACCAAACAAGAAGCGTGCGTAGTCTTTAAACGGATGATAGAATTCTAGATCTTGCACATTTGTTTCTTCGACTATGTTCTTGCAACTGTGACAATGGTCCCGTGCATCGTCCGCTAGTTTTATGTTGTGTACGTCAATTAGACTGCTTTTACACAGTTCAAGCATTGAATTCTGCACGCATGTGGAAGAGAGGGGGTGAGAATAGCCTGGCTACAGCTACCTCTTTCTCCAGTCACATCCCATTAAGGGATGAGAGCAGCTGTGCCTGGAAGTGGGCACCGGTGAACTTTTAACGCATGGGTCGAACTTGGCGGAAGAGTCGGTGGAGTAGTCTTTTGCAGGGAGCTCTCCATCAAGCTCAAATTAGGCTTCCAGATCGAAGTTTTTCTGGCGGAGGTTGCTGCCAGTCAATTGGCTGCTATTTTGCACGTTCGCTCGATTCTAGGGGGTATACTGACAGGCCACTGTCCCATCGGGGTTCACGCAGGCTGGCTAATAATCGCACAAGACCTCTTCTGTCGCATAGAGAACGAGGAGTAGGAATCCTCTCAGCACTTCCTCTTTTACTTCCAGCTTTTGCTAGATTGCGGCTTAGACACTTGGGTTCATGCTTTAAACTTATAGCTTGTCCGTAGGGGCTCTCCGGGACGGCATTTACCGTTCGTATTGGTATCACAGAGAACCAACGCGTACGGTCTAAGTAGTTCCTTTACCTACCTGAACTATAAGATGTAAATAAATGTGAATTAAGTATAGCTGGTTATACCTCCTGACCCCAGTTTATTGGATCATTTAACTAGTGCAGCGATATGCGACCAATGTTGTCGTTGTGGGACTAAAGGGGAAATTTGATCCTTTTCAAGCGCCAATACCCTTTGACCCGACTTTTTGAAAATTTTGATTTTTTTTACCCTTTTCCAAAATTATGTGCGACTTTTTCCCCTTTTCAGAGATTTTTTAGGATATGTTAACAAAACCATGCTATTAGAAATTTTTCTCCTTGCAGCAACTTGATTTATGTGTATGTTTGCAATCCTGTTTTGTGCAAAGCTTCCCCGCTATTTTCTTTTTAAATTCAGCGGATTTATTCTTTTACTAGTAAAGGAAAACAATAATTATATGGTGACCCTTTTTTTCGTCAATGACCCCTTCTTGCGACTTTGTGAAAATTCTAAACGGCAACGCTGGAAGGGACAATGGAAAGAACTCATTTTAAACATTTTGTAAAACGTTTTAAGTAGATAGTGTAAAGATGGATTCGGTACGGGGTATTGAGAAATACATGCTCTTAGACTGAGAGAATCAAAATTGTGGAAGCAGCCAACTATGAGCAGGAAACGGTCTTGATGATAATTAATAGTGGACGGCGTAACGGCATCAAGGCCGTGTTAGATATCGAAACTGGACAACTCACGTCGTCCTAGGACTTAAAGATTCCCATACACTTACCAACCCGGGAAGATTGACCTGTCGGTAAATGATGGTATTTCCATCTAAACCGATGGCTCAAAAATGGAAAGAGTAGTCGACTCGAGTCTGTATGCCAAGGGCCTTTAAATAAGTCAATCATACGGCCTGCCTCATAACTGCAGTGTCTTTCAGGTGGAGATCTTTGCCATACAGAAGGCGGCTGTCTCATACGGGATAGTAAGTCTCTTTAAGGGATCGTCAATATATTCCATGACAGCCATTCGGCATTGACAACATTCGGCTCCAGGGTGGTAAAATCGAAAGCAATTCGGAAATGTTGGGCAATGCTGTCTTCACTGAGTGACGTCTCTATGCTGGCTTCCCGGACAGCGTTTTAAATAAATAATGGTAATTTGTATCTGTAGCTGTTTAGTTTATGGGGCGAATAATAATGTATCCGTGTTTTTCGTACCAGCATTTCGGTGGAGAACAGTCCGAACTGTTGTTAATTCGGGTATCGGCCTATTAGTCTAACGACAAGATGCATCTAATGGTGCCCATACTGGCGTCCCTGATAGTACCCTTACTGGTATCCCGCGTTTCGATTGTACACCTAGTGGTACATCTAACGGCTCCCCTATTGGTAACCTATTGGCGCTCCTACTGGCGACCCCGATGGTAACCTTACTGTTACCATGTGTTACGAATGAGGGAGACAGCTTGGATTATGAGCTCTGTGGAACAGGACATCTGGATTACTACCGCACGTATCATCATTATTGATGAAATACATTGCAAAGAAATTTGAAATCTTTTGAAGGCGATTGTTATTTATAATATTTGTAGTTAACTGCTTTTTATTGGATAGTGCGATCGCAATAGATGCAATCTTAATAAGAACTCTTTTATGCATAAACTTTTAAAAACCTTTGTAATTAATGTAATGGCCTGTAAGAATAAAATTTTCTGTCGACTTATTTAAAAAAAAACATAAATAGCAATATACATAGAAGGGAACGAAATGCCGGTGAGATGGAAATTGTCAAAGCAAATATCTCCCTATTTCCACCTTTTTAATTTCTGATAAAGGGGTTTGAAGAGTACACTACAGATCTGAGATCTCAAGATCCTTGTGGTCGATACTAATAACAGTCGAAGTGACGAACTATTGACATTAAACAAATATGCCGTAATTACTCGTACCGGCGTCATCACAGGGCATTGTGCTATAACACCAATGCTCCATCGATGGCGTATACCAACAAGCTCCCTCTGCAGAAGTTGTCGGGATGAGGATGTAGAGGAATAGATTCAATGTCAATATGTCAATGACCAGCTTTCCAGACCAGGCGTCTCAAGCGTTTGGGATCACGCTTTTTCAATAATATCGAACCTCCACGGCTTCATCCGGGATAGAAAATAATTTGACAAACTCTGTACTGACAGTATGGATTAACCTCGGTTAGAAGGATGTGCCTCCTCCTGGCACTCATAGAGGGCATTTACAATGGGAAAAATTGCAGTGCTTGCACTACCAACTAGTACTAGCGACTAGTACTCAGATATTCCTTAAACCAAACAACTACAACAGTGTTGCAAGATATCTTTATAACTACTTCATAGCAATAATAGATATTGTATTTTTTCGTTTGCGCAGAAACTTGGCAACAGGATCTAACGGACACTTTCAAAATAGAAGGCTCAGATCAGGGTATACAAAAGGTTAATCTCAAATGCGGTTCCAACTCGATGAATGTGATGCTGGAGACGGAGAAGCCATTCACAGGCGTCATGTATACGCGCGGTAGTTTTTATAAACAAGCTGCACCCTGCTTTGTCAAACCAAATATTCAAAATGCACGCTCACTAGAGATGAATTTCCAATTGGATCAATGTCAAACATTGAAAGATGGCGAACTCTATTCCAATATTGTTGTCATACAAAATGATCCCGAATTGATTACACCCGGTGATTCGGCATTCTCGCTCGAATGTGACTTCCGTCAACCACGCAGCTTGGATGTTGAAGCGAATATGCAGACACGTGACAGGTAAATATATATACATATAGAAAATCATGATAAATGCTTAATACAAAGCCTCATTGCAATGCTTAAAATCATACTCGTATTTCCGAATTCCCAACAACAAAAAATGCAATGTAGACATCCGCAAAAATTGCGAGGAACCAACACGCATCAGCGACAATAGACAGACAAACCAAAAACAAAAACGCTTGAATGCTAAGCAAGCAAATGCAATGTATATAAGGTATAAATATTAAATGTGTGTATGTATTTATGTATGGTTTTGTATGCTATTGTATGTTTATTTGGCATAAACAAGGAATACTAAAAATACACATTTGAAAGACAAAACAGCTTAAATTATATTTTACTAGATCACAAAATTTCCACAATTTCTTCAATTATAAACATAAAAATATTATGTATGTATGTTAGTTCATTTACATGCTTGACCTACATATAATCCAACAATACACACTAATTTGCTTACACAGAGTTGTATGCGGTTCCAAAATCACACTTACAAGTCCCGATCCCTCAGCCAATGAAGCCGACTCGAATTTTACTGTGCAGAGCGATACGGATAGCGTTGAATATGTACCCAAACGTCAAAATGCGAATGATATTGAAAAGGATGTGTTGCTTGAAAAGAAAGAATCCGATACGATACGTTTAGGCACTGTGGAAGAGGTGAAATTCACACTTGAGAAGGATGAGCTTTAATAATAATGCAAACGTGGAATAATGGTTAAGGATTTTCATTCACACAGATCACACTTCCTACTCAAAAGCTAACAAGAATAAACACGCACACAAAAGTACGACAAGCACATTTCAAACACAATACTACACTTGCTGTATTAGGTAACAGGTGAGAGCAAAAGTATGTGGCTTGAACGCTTCGAAAATTTTCAAATTTAATTTAAATTGGTGCGGTATATTCTAACAAACTGTTTGTTGATTTTTAACTGATATACATATGTAATTATTTTAATATATTACGCTTCTTTTGCAGTCAAAGTGGACGCAATGAAACCGGGGTAACAACGGATGTAAAAGCGGAAGTGAAAACAGATGTAAAAACGGAAGTGAAAACAGATGAAAAACCCGAAGTAAAAACGGAGATTAAATCCTGAAAATACAATTCGGAATATTCCATACCTATGCATCAAAAATTCATTCAGTTTCCATGTATTCTACATATAAGTTATTTTTTAAAGCCATGTTCGATACAAAAAAACACTAAATTATTAAAAAAAAANATTGCGAGGAACCAACACGCATCAGCGACAATAGACAGACAAACCAAAAACAAAAACGCTTGAATGCTAAGCAAGCAAATGCAATGTATATAAGGTATAAATATTAAATGTGTGTATGTATTTATGTATGGTTTTGTATGCTATTGTATGTTTATTTGGCATAAACAAGGAATACTAAAAATACACATTTGAAAGACAAAACAGCTTAAATTATATTTTACTAGATCACAAAATTTCCACAATTTCTTCAATTATAAACATAAAAATATTATGTATGTATGTTAGTTCATTTACATGCTTGACCTACATATAATCCAACAATACACACTAATTTGCTTACACAGAGTTGTATGCGGTTCCAAAATCACACTTACAAGTCCCGATCCCTCAGCAAATGAAGCCGACTCGAATTTTACTGTGCAGAGCGATACGGATAGCGTTGAATATGTACCCAAACGTCAAAATGCGAATGATATTGAAAAGGATGTGTTGCTTGAAAAGAAAGAATCCGATACGATACGTTTAGGCACTGTGGAAGAGGTGAAATTCACACTTGAGAAGGATGAGCTTTAATAATAATGCAAACGTGGAATAATGGTTAAGGATTTTCATTCACACAGATCACACTTCCTACTCAAAAGCTAACAAGAATAAACACGCACACAAAAGTACGACAAGCACATTTCAAACACAATACTACACTTGCTGTATTAGGTAACAGGTGAGAGCAAAAGTATGTGGCTTGAACGCTTCGAAAATTTTCAAATTTAATTTAAATTGGTGCGGTATATTCTAACAAACTGATAACTGATATACATATGTAATTATTTTAATATATTACGCTTCTTTTGCAGTCAAAGTGGACGCAATGAAACCGGGGTAACAACGGATGTAAAAGCGGAAGTGAAAACAGATGTAAAAACGGAAGTGAAAACAGATGAAAAACCCGAAGTAAAAACGGAGATTAAATCCTGAAAATACAATTCGGAATATTCCATACCTATGCATCAAAAATTCATTCAGTTTCCATGTATTCTACATATAAGTTATTTTTTAAAGCCATGTTCGATACAAAAAAACACTAAATTATAAAAAAAAAAAATTCTGTGATATGGGTGAAGACGATTGGACAGAAACATAATAAAAATATTATATGATTTCCTGTGAAAATTGTTGCGGCTTTTGTTGTTGTTGTTGTTGTTGTAGCAGCATACAAATTCCCCAAAGACTTTTTGGGGAGTGTTGCTGGAGTAACAGTCCTTGGCCAGATATAAATCTGGGTCGTTCCGGTTACGTAGACCCGACTGTCGTGGGAACGGTTGCGGCTTTTATTTTAAGATTCATTATTTCTGTATTTGGAAAATTACTTAAACAACCCAGAGAAAATGATTACCTTCATCGCCAGGAACCAGCGTCTGGTGGATGTTGACAATCGCGGACTGGGCCAAATTTGACGGTCGGATAGATAGGAGGACTCTTTTACGAAAATCTCTTCTTTAATAATTTAGATTTTATGTTTATTGTACTAAGAAGTTGTCGACCAGCTGCAAGAGAGCTGGGATCGGGTATTCCTCGGTCCGCAACCAGTTATAGCACTCCCTCACTAAACAAAGACTGGGTGGCGCGTGAGGCTGCAGGAGGGCAAAACTCACGTTGCCCTGAATCTCAGAGGGTCTTGCTAGGGATTTCCTTTCATTGAGGCGATGGGACTACTAGGGCTGTTAAGAGGAAATGCCAGCCTTGCAATTTCAGAAGCTTTTTGGTTTCGGCCAAAACCGCCAACCGGTTTTAGTGCCAAATAAGAAGTTGTACAGATTAAAATAATGCGTAAAATAGCTTTTATTGTTCTAGTCAAAATGTGTTCTTTTAAACTCAGATGAGTTGTATGCCAAAAACTCGTACTCTACTGATTTTTGATTTCCCCCGTTGTAAATACCCTCGACTCACTTTGAAGATCGCTTACCAGTTTTAGAGTTAATTTAATAACAATTTAAGAGTTAAAAAAGAAGACCGCTCTGTTCAACTAAACATGATAAAAACATTACAAGGTAAATTCATTCTCTCAATTCGTCGGCCATGATTTTTTTCTGACGTTTGCCAACATTTTAAAATCATATAAAATTTTAAATAAAAATATTAAATTGTTCACAATTGTTGTTGTTTGAGATTGAAAATCAGAATGTGTGTGTGAGTTTGAGTTTTGATTTTAAAATTATATTGTTGGCAAACGTCAGACTGCCTCTCAATGGTTTTACCTTGTTATGTTTTAATCATGCAACTAAATATATCTTAAATATAACTCAGTTTTTTCGCCTCAATATATACCTAACGCGCCCATGTCACTCAAAATATTACTCCTCATAAAAAAGTGCTGTCTATTTTGCCCATCTATCTTTCATCACTTAGTAGTTTTAATCGTTGATAAACTCATGATAAAAACATAGCAAGGTAGAACCGTTCTCTCATTTTGTCGGCCATGATTTTTTTTTGAAGTTTGCCAGCATTTTAAAATCATATAAAATTGAAATTGTTCGAAATTGTTGTTGCTTGAGATTGAAAATGAAAATGTGTGTGTGAGTTTGTGAGTAAATTTAAAAATTAAAATGTTTGGAAACGTCAAGAATTTTAAAAGTAACTCTCAGCGGTTCTACCTTACTATATTTTTATCATGGATAAACTCATTAAAGCAGCAGAGAGCGCTCATTGAGGAACCATTTTTTTATGCTCTAAATTTTATATAAATAAGTAAAGTGATGCCATCAATACGAATAACTCTTTTACAAATACTTCTAAAGCAAATTCATGAGTGCGCCAAACATGTGAAGACAGCGTTGCCGAATTGACGATTTCGTCGTCATTTTGACGTTTTTTTTTAGCTCAATGACGTTTTGACGATTTTTCGCCCCGTAATGACGATTTTTTTTACTTTAGTTTTATATATGTATGTACATATGTAAGCATGATAAAAATATTTATAAGGTACAACCGCTGAAAGCCAGCTTTAGAAATTTTGACGTGTGCTAGCATTTTGAAAATTTCTCTCGCCGTCATTTTATGTGTTGGGGTTTATTTTGACTCAAACCAAAGAAACAACAAAATTTGAATGTACATAAATATGTACATATGTACATACATACATATATACATACATATATATGTAAATAAATTATTGAAAGAAATTGTGTTTTATGGACTTCTGCCCGCAGTTAAGGCGAAAATTATGGCATGCATTTAAAGATATTTCACTTTAAAGGCACTTCACTTTTGCAAAGAACGAACTTGCTTACATTGGGTCAAGTAGTCGCAAAAAATGAGCCGAGTGTACATAGGGGTACTTTGGCAAATCCGTTTTCATAACACCACAAACCTCGATCCATTATTGCCTTTATACGGTAATTGCAGGAATTTAAAAAGTTTGATATTACTTTGCTTACAGAGGACAACGGAATTTCTGCAGCCGTTAAAGCAGGAACTTTTTTTCGAAGTTCTGATTAAAAAAATAATTCAAATTATAAATTTTCATTTGCTTATTTTGAATTTCTTTGACACTTCGAGAGAGTAAAACGCAATGACGGAAGAATTGAGCGAGCGGTTTTACCTTTAAATGTTAGTATCATGTATGTAAGTATGTACGTAAAAAAATTTTTTCAAGTAAAACGTTATCCAAAGTACAACCATGCATTTATCTAGTTTGGTTCTACTACTGTTGACACTGATTTGAAAGAGACAGAAAAATATCAGAGAGAACTTGTTCAGTCAAGATTATCTATCAGTTAATAAATGCTAATGATACACTTTCAAAAACTTCAAGCCAGTGGAGTGGAACAATTTAAAAGTAGTTGTGTTTTAAAGTGTAATTTAAAATTGTCGTTAACAATTACAAATCCACTTTTATTAACCCATATGCGATGTGGGTTCCCTTTGGTTTTGAAATATAACATATGTATTTATTGAATGTAATTTACGTAATTTTGTTTATATTTTTTATTTTGTTAAAAAAGTATTATAACCAAAACTTTGAGGTTTTTTGCGCCGAAATTGCGATTTTTTCAAGGTAAAGTGACGATTTTTCAGCAAAAGAATTCGGCAACGCTGTGTGAGGAGTTTATAGTGAAGAGAATATAAAGAACGCTAGCGCTCTGCTCAAATTGAAGTGCTATTAAAAAATATAACTCCTAAGAGCGAGAGCGTATTTTGATGGCTTTCTGTAATCTCTATACTGGCGTAGCAAGCGCCAAGGAACTGTCAAAAATCCTCATGCCCATACAAGGTCCAAACCCGTATTCCTCGGACTAAAACTAGTAAAACTGTCAAAAAATAAAAATTCGCTCTGAGCGAGAGGGTAATAGCCCAGTTATGCATACTTAGCTTTGCATGAGAGTTGTCACATAAGAATCTGTTAAAAGGGCTTTGCGTGTAAGCGGTTACCCAACACATAGCACTTAACATGTAGAATTCTGTTGGGCTTTGATTTTTACGTAAAAATGCTAAAACAGTGCAAGTATGCATAACTGGGCTATAACACAGAAAAGTACGGGATCGCTTTCTAGTAAAAAATGGTAACTTCTGACAACT